TTGAATTTTGAGTTTTAATTGCTTAAACACTACAAAATATTTGAATTACACGGAGAATCTATCGTGAAAAATCTTAAGTGTCTGTGCGCTTCTTAGGTCCTTTCTGGGAATGAGATCTTTATGCTTAAAAATGAAACCAGGGCAGACATGTGCAATAATAAAAGCAGAAGTGTAGCTGAAGTACCAACCTTCTCAAAAAAAACCATTCTCAATAAAAGAATAAATAAGTAAATAAGCACAAAACCAGACAACAAATTTTAAAAAAGGGTAGATACATACATACAGTACATCATACAATTTCTTTCATTTCAAGAACACTTTTAATTCACGCTGTCAGCTTAATCCATTTTTATGTGGGTCTTTTTTGTGGCATTTAGCAGTTTCCTTCACTTGTGAGAAACATGACAGTGGTTGTTTCTCATGTGAGAGGAAAACTATTGAGAGGCCCCTTCTAGTTTTGCGGTGAAAGGTGACATAACCCATAATTCCACTAAAACCACAATGTTCTTTTATCAGATGTTCCTCTCTGATACTGTGAGGGTGGTTCACATGATGCTAACCAAAGGACTGAACTTCAGAAAATGCACAAAGGTACTTATGTTCAAGTCATTATGTGGGGCATTAGAAAATAGGCAACGTAGCAGGTAAAGTATAATATAGATGAAATTATAAAATTTTAAGCAAGTTATTCAAGAAGCTTGTTCGCTCTACTTCTCAATCTTTAAGTGGTTGGCCAGTGTAACTAATACAGTTTGTGAGTGTGAATTATTAACTTACTGTGTAAAGGCAGCAGTTAATTTGTTATATTAGATTTATCTGGGGTTTTTTTGCAAATGGTTTAACAGAATAAAAGATAATGCTGAAGTTCAAAAGCACACACTGGTGCCTGCTAACAATGGCTAGCTACTGACACAGCTAGCAGTCAAAGGTAACTTGTTTAGCTCCCTCTAAACAAAAATATTTTATATTACACTATTTTTTTACAAAAGGAGTGAATGTAAGTGTGTTAGTGTCATTTTTAAATCATTGTGTTATCTGTTATCTTACAGTAAAACTGATTTAATCTATTTAGTCTCATAAATGCTATCATTGTGCTAGCACTTTTATACTGAATATCCATTTAGGTATACACGAAAGGACAGCCTCCCTCAATGGCATCCATTATCAAAAGATAACTACAAAAATATGAGAAGCCTTGTTATAACAGGGCAGTAGCTTACATCAGTGTAAAAGAAGCAGCTGGTTATCAGACAAGGTAGAGACAAGCAGGGGCTTGACCCAAGATGCAACATCCCAGACAAAACATGCTGTGCAGGCTCCTCACAAGGTTAAGCTACTTTATACCGTGAAACTACAAATTTAAAGTGTTATCATCTACTTTTATTTAAAACCCCCCCCAAAAAGATTACCTAGGCTACGTTTGTGCTTACATCTGACTTAAGCGGTGTCACTGGATATATTGCTGTGTCACTACAATTGCATTATAATGCTGCTGCTTCTGCTGTTGGCACCTTGTTGCAATAGAATCACACTTTGAATTAGGTTGTGTGTCATCACTGACAGCAGCTCATTGGAAAAGAAGGATGGAAATGCCCTGCATTTACTCACCCTTATAAATGCTGCTGCCCACACGCATCAATAAAACCTTATTCAGTATTTTTTTTTCCTGTTTCACCAGAAATAATATTATTGCAAATTTTATTGAAACTTTGTAATATAGTTTTGAGACCCCCACCCCTAATTACAACAAAACAAGCTCCATTCACTTATATCTCATGGGCGCCCCCTAGAAAACTGGAAGTTATAGAACTTGGAGTTAAATATCTCTGGTGTCACAAAGCCTGCGACTTGTAATTTATCGGGTGGTGACATCTCCAAACCAAGGAAACAATAATATAAAATAAAATGAGACATAAAATTAAAGTTGAATTTAAAAAAGATGAATTGAAATATTATAATAACACATATCCAATAAAATAAAATCTTTTTTTTTTATATTTAATTCATTTAATTAATACTGTTGCAGCTCCACACAGTGTGACACATACACATGTATATATCAGCTATTTAAATTCTGCTGATTAGAAACTGATTCCCCGAGTCCTTGTGTTACAGGTAAAGGGCTGTGAATAGCTGACAGGCTACTCTCTGCTCTACATGAATTGAATCTGAAGGCTGGGGAGGATGCAGCTTTTAGCGGTCAGGGAAAAACACTGGGTCCAAATTAGCATAAACAGGAGCACAAAAGAAACAGGGGATAAGAGCGAAACAGAAAACAGTGTTGTCAATAGGACCCCCCAGTGAGGAATTTCAATTTCATATATCTAATTATCCCTGTCAGATAGAAAGAAGTGACAAAAAGCTGTCTTTGTTCTCTGTCTTTATCTCCCGCATCTCTCTCAATTAATTTCAGCATACGAATATGACTAATTGTCTCTCTGCAGCTCTGAAGCCACATAAATAATAATTTCGACCCATGTTTGAGGGAGGGGTGGGATGTTCGTGCTTCGGTTTATGATATTTGGACACAATGGTTTGTGCATAATTCAGGTGATCACGTTAGCAGGCCGATCCAACCTCTCTGTAGACATCACCCTCTGCCCCACAGTCTTGTAGTCCGCATAATACCTCTATACTTTCCCTCTTTTGTAAACAAAAGCGTTATGCCTCTCATTTCTGTCACTGGGCTTGTTTCTTTGTTTAGAGTGGTGATATTAGCATCATAATCAGACAGAAAGAAAGAGGCGGCAGTGATGGTTGATTTATGCATGGTTTATGAGGAGAGACCAGCTAAACCAGTCAGCATCTGCTATGAATTTTCCAACATGTTTAGGTTTAGACATTCATGTTATAACTGAGTGATTTCAACATATAGTACTTTAGTAACTGATCTCTTTTCATTGGTTTATTTTCAAACTTGGGTGCTTTCAGTAATAGGCCTTTTTTTTACTGTTTATATTGTAATTACAAGAAGCACTCAAACTGCTCTTACAACTTTTTCACTTCATCTAAATTTCTATACCCTTAAAGTATTGCACTTTGGTTTGTGACTCTGACGACTGTATAATTAATTGATATCCTATTCACTCTAAGAGACCATTTCCCTCGTATCAAGCAAACAAAAAAAATATATCAAGTGAGGACGAAGGACGAGAATATGCGCTCGTGAAAAGATGTTTTATCACTTACTGACACTGACATAAAAAGCTCTTGAAGGATGGCGCTGAAGTGATGACATTTGTTTATTCACTCAAATGTGCCTAAAAAACAATCAGCACAACCTAAACACAATGAGCCAAACATCTGAAACCCGTCTAAACAAAGCGGCAGTCGAGCCTGTGCACTCCAACCATAAAACATACTCAGTCATTCACTCAAAGTGAGAGAGGGAGGGCAGCGAGGAGGGGGAGCGGGGGGGATGGTATTGTTACATTTCATTAGACACATTCCTTCTCTGTGGACTCTTGACCAGTTGCCATGGCAGTTCAGCTGACCACATTTCATATCAACTTCTCTTTCTCTCGGTCTCTAAGTCTTTCTTCCTTTGTTCTTTGTTTTATTTCGGTTTTAAACCAAGTGATTTTAATGACACTGCTCTCTTCAATACAACAGTATATTCAAGACATTATAAGAGATAGATTTGGCACTCAAGACTCCATTGCAACAGCAAAGATAATGGTAGAAATATAACTTCCATGAAATCGAAAAAGCTTTTAAAACTTTGTTTTTGAGGCATAACGGGTTGTAACTAGCATCTAGAAAAACTTCAATTCAATAAATATTAAAATGCCAATAAGGTTTGACTCGTTAAGTCGTTAAGGGCCAGTCACACAGGCCTAGAGTCCAGTCAGCAAATGTGGCAAACACTGTTTGTGGGGGGAAAATATGTCTTCCCCAACCAGGTGTGGGTGGCTGCTGGAGGTTGTTGGCAGTCGCTATGAAATCAATTGCTAAAGCCCCATTCAGGTGACCTGTAGTTACCAGATGGGTTACTGGTCTTGAAGGAAAAGAGTTTTACAACTAGTTGATGAGTGGTTGCTGGAGGTGGCTGGCAGTTGCCAGTGTGAATTGAAATTGGTTGCAAAGAGATAAATGGTGCAGCATTAAAACCTCCTTGGGATTGTTTTGGTCACTAGCAGGTTGCTGTGGTTGCCACCAGTTTGCATGGAGGAGGCCAACTTGTCTGCAAACACTAATAAACGATTTGCCAAGGGGTAGTGAAAAGTGCTAGGCAGAGAGGAAATGGAGAATATTTGCTTTAAAAATAAATGTTGCACCTTACCGTTGCGATAAAATATTGCATCAATAAGGCACAACTTTTACTTTGAAAGTGAATGTTCTCCACTTCCACTTGGCATTACCCTTCTTCAAATTTCTGTACAGCTTGGAGATTAGATGGTTAAGGTTTAGAGGAAATTCACTGTCTTACATGCAAATTGCGAATGATCATGCCAATCTGCAACCAAATAAATCATAGATTTTTGGAGGTTTTTTGGGGTAGCTACGCTCTTTGTGACCAATTTCACCTTGTAAGAGCTAGCAAAGTCCAGTAAAGGCTAGCAAAGTCCAGACACCATTTGCCAACCAGTCAGTGAACTGAGCTTGCCAGGAGGTTGCTTGTCGGTTTCTACTCTAGGGACTAAGCCATTTTGATTCAAGATGAACGCCTGCAATATTTGTGGTTCTGCTTAAATGCAAATAAGATTCGCAGATCTGTGGGAATATTTATATCTCCAGTATTCAGCAAACAGCCAAAATGATATATTATGACATTCTGCTTACAGGTAGGTGAAAACCTTTAGTTACCTATAGTTAAGCGTCATCGGCAGAGAGATGACACTCTCGGTTATTCGGCAGCTACTTTCAAAGAATCAACCAAAAATGAACAGCAGAACCAGTAAACTGCTATGACAATGGTGCTACACTGATTCAGCAGTTTCAAATCTGCTGTAGCTTCATCTGCTTGAGAGCACCCCAAAGATGTAGGCAAGTGTACTTACCAATTTGTTGAGCTTACTGTATCCATAATGTGATTAGCAAGGCAATTGTTCAAGAGCGTTTATAGGATAAGTCACATGTTGATCGTGTCTGCACACTTTTCCACATGCCACACACCTGTGGGGTAAAGCAAAATGGAAACTTTATTTTGGAGCATAATATTCACAATTTAATAATAAGAAAGTAATAATAAAGACAGCTTTATGTTACATTACAGTGAAAAATAATACTGAAAATGAAACAAGTGGTTTGAAAAAATATCTTGTAGGTAGCACTTTTCTATTAAACTTTGCTTTAACACAACATCCAGGCAGGCAGCTTTCTTTCTCAACATTTGCATATTTTGGTGAGTCAACATCCTGAATCAAAAAAAGTGCCACCAATAAAAGCGTAACACTATGCAAAAATCCTTCAGGACGAAGGTCATTATTGACACCTGATGTAGCTAAACCCGAAAATGGAACTGAGTCGCATTCATATTAACAAAATGCAACCTGTCGTTCAAATCCAGGGGCACAGTTAGTCCAACTTTCCAAGCACCCATTAATTAGCATTTTTCCATCAACAGTCAAGTGTTTGCTAAAAAAAAAAAGGGGGAAAAAGGACGATAACAGAGGGAGACGAAATTAATTTGCATTCAGTGTATAAATAGTTCCAGGACAAGGGCTGTTAAGTTTGAAATTAACATGTAAACAGTTGGAAAGTCTGCCCTGCTACTCCTTATCCCCTTCTCCTTAACCCCCACCTCTGGTTCCCTTTTAGCGCCTTGATAAATATACATAAAGCCCCACACAAAGACCGCCTTGTTCCTTCAAATGGGCTACTTTTTAATGGAGACATATATTTCCAGGATTATATCAGCATTCAGTTGCAAATTTTTAGTTTTTAATACTCCAGTTGGGACAGTCTATGAATAAGAGTATCATTTGAATGCAAGGGAACACCTGGTGCTGAGGGGCTGGGCTTGGAGGGGGTTTTGAGCTGACCTGGTGACAGTGCCAAAGCTTCACTTGTTCCCAGAGTTTGCATTCAGATTCTCCCAGACTCGGTCATCGCTATGATACTGTAGAGTGCACATTTAAAGTTATTCTCCTGGTCTTATAAATGCCAAAGACATGGCGCGATGACGGCTGCTACATTTGAAGTTGGAGGCGTGAACAGTGTGAGCTCAAAAAGTTGGAAACTCTTAAAGTGGAATTATCCAATATTGCCACGCAGCAGCTGAGAATTTCTTTTATTTCTGAAGTAGTGTTTTCAGTGCCGCGATCTGTCGTACAACTATATATTAACTACATTTTTGCTTATGAACCTTTGAAAATCATCATTATTATTTTACTTTTGCAAACACCTGCTGCTTCTGGTTTATGCCGATTGGTTAAAACACAAACAAGAACTCTGAATTCAAAACTGTTACGAGAAAACAAAGGGGAAATTTAAAAAAAACTTTCAGCTGTGCTTTTTTTGTTGTACATTACTTGGCTGCATGAGAACAGAAAGAGGTGAGGGGGAAGGTGGTGGTGGTGGTGGGGGGACTGTTTGGAGGAGGAGAGAGGCAGGGGTACAGGGTCTATTCGTATGCACCCCACATCCACTCAACACACAATCAGGCCTGTATTGCGTTTTGCAAATTTATACCCAGGATGTTGGTTTAGAGTGTTTCCCTGAAAAAAAGAAAAGGAGAAGGATTTTTTTTTTCAAGTAAGTGTCTGCTTTCATGAGCAAGAGTGATTGAGGCACACAAACAAACCTTTGTTTCCTAGCTCACAGATGCAAGGCCCGAGCTCTGATTTACACCCTACCCCAAGACACATTTCTACTTATTTTTAATACGTTGTGACTAAGACTTTATGAAAAATAGGCTTATTGAACACTCAACGTCATTTGTGGTCACCCCTCAAAAAATAAATAAATAAATAAATAAAATGGTAATGCATGAGGAAATCACACTGTTAGCAATATCCACTCCACGCTGTGTATCCACTAGCCATTCAAACCAGCCTGTCTTCTCCCTCAAAATATTTGCACAGCCTCATGTTTGCAGTGACGGGAGAGCTGTACTCATGAGAAGACAATCCATAGCGAGACGCAGGCAGTCAAAGTCAAAGGCACGGAAAGCTGAAGCGAAGGGGTACCGAAGTGTTGAAAAGTTTGACACTGATTCGATGTGAATATTCATGTTTGGGTTTTACTAAAGCAAATGTAATAAGGCCGTGCAAACACTTATATCACATGTCATCGTAAAATATCAGTTTGGCTGTATTTCTTCTACTTTCACCAAATGTTGTTTACAAAAAGAAATTGTATATTTGTGCAATACTTGCAATGTATTCTGCATCAGAGGAGTGGCGATGTCTTGACTAAATGTTTGCCACATCAAATCAATGGGTTATATTTGAGCTGAGAACACGGTCAAGTCGGTGAGGCTGCTGACAGCATGTTTACGTCAGTCCCAATTAATAATTAGTTTAATGATTTGAGCCCTTGACATGTGGCCCTCGACAAATGTGGGCAGGAAAATGCACACTCTGTGCCGTTTGCATAAATCTACCGTTTCAGCTCGAGCTGAGGGGGAAACAGAAGGACAGGAGAGAGTGAGAGAAAGCGAGAGAGCACGCGAGAGAGAGGTGAGGGAATTATAGGACTCAGATGTGTGTGATTGGCGGTTCCCTTGGCTCCCAGGGTTAGAGAGTTCAGAGAAAAGCCGATTATTGCTCTCCCTCAGGTCAAGCCTTCATAAATAAACACGGGGAGAGCCCGAGGCACCGTGTTTTAGTATGATTAGCATATCATACAGGCTATCGACATGGTACTTATCATATTACAGCGCAGCCGTCCTCTGAGCACACGGAGGTTACATGTACGGGGCTGCTGAGCATACATCTCTGTTCATTAGAAGGCTCCTCGGGGAGAGAATAAATCATATCAGCACGTGGTTATACCAGCCCAGGCGTTTGACTCCGCCATACAGCGGATGTTAACCAGAGCCTTTAATAAGCTGGAGAAGAGCTGACAGTTAGCTTCAGACTGATGAACAGCGGAGGAGACGAGGGGCAACGATAGGGAGGATTGATAGTAGGAGGGAAGTACACTGAGAGGCAGAACTGTGGTACATGAAACTAATCTCTGGACCACTTTTCTGACACCTTACACTTGTGCTGGCCTCCTGAGTGTTTGGACCTGACTTCATCCTGGACACTTTTGAATCTGCATGCCAGCTGCATGTTAACTGGGTCCATTATGTCCTCAGCATTACAATTAATCTTACAATGAACCTTAAAGTTCTGCATGATTACCAATTACATGTTGGGACTAAGATACCAGAGGCCTTATTTCATTACAAAAAATATAAGTGAAATGAAACAAAAGGTACCATTTATATATATTTAAAAAGACAGAATTAGCATTAGTGTTTTTATCAAAGACGAGCAAATGACTAAACAAACTACTGAAGCTTCATCTGGATTCATCACTTGGCATCTGAAAAAGAGTACTCTCACCTGCCCAGTAGAGGTGGGTGGATTGATCCAGATATTGATAGTACCGATACAAATGCTAATACTATCAAAATACTATCACAATAGGATCGATACTTTGATACTATCTTCTAAGTTCAGTGTGTAGCCCAGTGAATTGTGCTTAAAGGTGTTTTGTTGTGTTAATTTGCTCGTGGTAAAGTTGTCATTTAAGCTAGTTTCTGTAAAGCTCAGTGAACAGACACACAGCGTGCACAGTTCTATCCTAACAATCAGAAATTGTGGCTGGATTTACTGAGGAGAGTCAGCCTGTCATGATAGTGCAAACCATGAATGCTGCATGTATCAACAAGTACCAGTTCTAACAAAGTTAAAATAAAAATGCCTACTGGTTTTTTAAAAAAAAGTAAAGCTGCTTTTTAAAGTAAGAAAAAAGTTTTAGTTACCAAATCTAACATAAGAAATGTCCAACCTGACTCAAGTCTAGGCTTTTTAGTAAGACTGGCAGACTTGAACTCAATGACTGTGGTCACTGGCTACTTGGAATTGTGATCCGGTGTAATAAAATATGAAAAGGGTGACAGATTTTGGTGCAGTGAACAGAAAAAATAATGTTTCTATGGATGATAAAATTAGCCCAGAAGGAATTATGACTGTGTCTTAAAACTGCACGGGATGGAAGTCACCCCAATTCTCAGACACGCTGCTCAGATTTCAATTTACGGCAAGCCTTTTCTCCTTAGCTACACAAGCTCAGCTCACAGACCAGGGGCCACAATTAGCAGCTAGCCATTCTGACCAGGGAGAAAGAGTTAATGACATCCGCACCTAAGCCCTCCTAAGCCTAGGGAGCCGGGGCACCGAGGAGCCTCAGTGCTCTCCTCCTTCCAGTCAAGCGTGGCCTCTTTAGGTGGTCCGCACACACACTGGAGGGGATGATATATTCTAACTGGTATTAAAATATCCTCCAGGAGGCCGGGCTGCCGGGGATGGCCAGCTGGGTGGATATACAGTAAGAGGCTACAATGCAAAAACGGGGATATTGGATGGGTGTTTTTCTTGTTTGGGCTTCATGGTGGTGGCACAAAGCTGGGATCAGTCAGGATGCCATGTCGCCTGGATAATCACACCCACCACTGGCATGGATCTTATGCCAGAGAGAGGAACAGCAAACATCAGAAGCATATATTTAGTTTTGAGACCTAACATTAAAAAATAGGAAAAAGTCTAAACAATATCAAGTTTAAGGTTTTTATTTGACCTCATCGGACTGTTTGCAAATTTCCTTGCATTGTTGTCTGCATACAGCACCACGCAATAATAACACTTTATTAAACGATCCCACCACGTTTCCATTTACTCCATCACGTCCGTGCCTGTGTGTGCATTTCTCTGTGTGTTCTTAAGTGATGCCATCCCCTCGTGCCCACCCCTCAAATCCCCACACCCCACCCACCCATGCAAATTAGAACTTCACACACGGTGCGGCAAGCTGCTGGGTGCTCTGTGATTTCACACGACCAATTAAGGCCCTCTTGGCAGTTGTGTGAACAGTTTCATTAGAGGAGATAATATTGCAAAGTGAAATGATAAGCAATCATTATGATTAATGCCCAGACATTACATTGCTCGTTAATGAGGTGT